TTGGGACATGAAGGAAGGGCATCAGCAAGGCTTGGCTAAAGTGACAGCTCGGAGTGGCAGGCCCACCCAGGGTGGACAGTTGAAGCCTGTGACAGTCTATTCCTTGGTCCTGTTCTGCATCCCTGGAGCTCCTCGAACTTTCAGTGAAGGGCAGGAACTGTTCTCAGAAGCATGTGCAGGCCAGTTGGTCAGCTGGCTGGGGTCATGTGGGGACAGAGGGCATACCTATCTTCATCACCTTCCATTGGGGCTGTGCCCAAGGCAGCCTGTTGAGGTTGTCATGTCAGGCTGAGGCTGCCTTCACACCTCCCAACTGGCAATGGAGGGTGGGCACTGTGTCCTTGGGTCCCCTGTTGCAAAGTTAGGAGGCTTGGTGCGGCTCTTGTCTGCGTGGGCTGGAGAGTGGGTGAGACTGGGGGTGATGGACTGGCTCACTAGCACTAGACAGTCACAGCTCTGCGACTTCCTGTTATCCCTACCTTACAGATGAGGGAACCAGACTCAGGAAGGCTGACTTGTAGCAGTGTCTGGTGGAGCTGGGAGCAAGACTTCCTGACACCCAAACGTTACACTGTACCCACAACCTCCTTTTCCAAGTTAGGACCATCTGTAGCAAGCCATGCTCGATGACCTCAACAGCAGGGGCTGGGGCAGGGGCAGAGGGGGCTGTGGGGCCAGGATGGGTGTAGGAGGATCCCGAGATCCTGTGCCCAAGGAGTGGTGAGTGGGTCAGATCTGAGCCAGTGGCACCAGTCAGATCAGCCAAGTCCAGAGTACTATGACTGCTTGTCATAAAACTCCAGCCAGGCCACGGAGTAGCAAAAAGAGATGGCAGGTACCACAAATTTGTCAAGAGGAAGGTCAGGCTCAACCAGGGGAGCAAGAGAGCAAGGAGGCTAAGTTAGGAAGACCTCAGTTCCACTCCTGTTAAAGCTATGTAGTAACTGAGTGACCTCAGGAAAGTTATTTAACTTCTCTGGTCCCTGCTGTGTTTACCTACGGATGGGAGAAATAATGCAGGTAAAGCACCCAGCACAGGGCATTACTGGGCTGGGGATCTGGGCAGTGGATGGAAAGGCTGTCCTGAACTCTGGGGCTATAGCTTTGGGGATCCCAGCCTGAACATGCTGGTGGGGCTGAAATTCCTTCTGGGACCCTGCCACAGTCAAAGTTGGAGTAGGAATTGGGCTGCCTCAGCTAGTGGGTGACAGTGACAGCGACCCTAGGCCAGAGCACAATTGGTGCTGGCTCTAATGCAACCAAGGAGAGCACGATGTAAGACGGCTACGGAGCACTCCCACTCAGGACGTCCAAAGGTGAGAGAGACACTGCGCAAGTTTAAACTCCACTGGGATACATTACCGTAACAGGCTTCTTTCGTCTTCTCTCTTCCACTGGGAGTCCTTTGCAAAGGTATACCTGGTCTCCGAAGCCACACTCCTGCAATGATATCCTTCCACATCACTGCTGAGCTGCTCAGAAGGCCCCAAGCCTTCTCCCTGCAGCACTGGGTCGGAGGTGGTAAAATGAAGGTCTTTGCTGCTAACACCCACCCTGGTGCATGTTGCCTCGCGTCCCCATGCATGTAGGAACTGGCACTTTAATGTGCTCACGCCCAACCTGCTTTTTGAATAAAAGGAGGAAAATGAAAGTGTGTACGGTCTGGGAGACCAGGACATGCCCTAAAAACTGTCACTTGGGATTAAGTCAGAGAACTTAAGAGCCCCTTCCCAGGGTACCCCTTGACCTCCCTCACTGAAAAATCCCCTTCTCTTTAGCAGTGTCGTTCACCCCAGCAAATGGATGGGCTGGTTTCACAAGCCCCCTGGGGCACATGAGACTGGAGACCCAGAGCAGCCAAACCTCATGAGCTGCCCTCACCCCACAGGGGGACAAGGACGATGAAAGCACTGTCAACCCCTCTAATGCAACCTGGAGATGTATTTTATTCTCCTTCCCCCTCCCTGGCAGGGAGTGATTCTTAGTGAAATGCCCACGAAGGTGAGTGGTCAAAGTCCAGATGATCCCCCACCAGCTAGGCAGCCAGTGCCTTCCAATCAAGAACCGCCTTTCTTCTCCCAGCAACCCAGCACCTCTTATCACAGCGGTCACCCTTTCCCTGTTCGCTCCATGCAAGCTGTAAGTCAGAGCCCTAACAGGGACGCCTCCTCATTCTCTGGAAGCTTCAACAGAGCACACCAGATCCACACCACTCCTTCTCCATTAGCTCCAGGGTGTTCAGTGTGCCCATTTCTGAGCTCAGGCATGCTGCCCAGGTCTAAAGTACTGAGGTTGGGGACTCAAGTCAGTGAAAAAAACCACAGGGGAGATTTCGACCTTCTGCAAGTGGAGGGATGGGGTATGTATTTTTTTTTTTTCTTTTAAGTATGAAGAAACCTTGTGGTTTCAGAAATCCTTTCAAAGGATCCTCTTCAATTCTCCAGGCAAGGAGAGGGATGTGTACCAGACTGGGGAGGGGCGGGAGGCGAGCATAAGCCACACCACCAGGTGGATTACCAATGGCTTCTGATTCACCAGCCAGCTGTGGGAAACCACTGAGCCAGCATGTCTCTAGAGAAGAGAGCTGCTTCTTGGATCTCAGGTTTGCCACTCTGCAGGGCAAGCGCTGTTCTTTCTGCTGGACTCTTGAGAAAGAACTTTCGCTCTGATCTAGTTCCTTTCTCTCTCTTGATTCCCAAGCCAGCCTGCTTGCCCAAGGAGGCCTTTAAACCACCTGAAAAAATAAACTACTGTTTATGTCAGGTGATTGCAACAGCACGGTCTCCTTGGGTGAGGCAATGGAACCTGGGAGGTGTCTTCTGAAACAACAGCTCCAACATACACAACTATGGCAGCAAACCAGAGAAGCAGCACTGAATTCTGCTGACCAAAGCTTCTGAGCTGCAGAGAGCACCCAGATCTGGGCGAAATGCAGGAAGCAGCCAGATCTAGGCAAGAATCTTTAAAGTAGATATAGCCCTTGGGCTAATGCTGCAGGGTAAGCGGAAGCTCTAAAGAAGGCACACTGCAGGGCAGTGCATATTGAAAAAAGAAAGCAGAAATAAGAAAGAACCATGGGCAAAGTTAGACATAAGAGAGATCTATGTGCAGATTAAAGAAAGCCGAGTGATGGGACCAGCAGTTAGCGTAAGGGCTATGTCACTCTACTCCCATGTACTTGACCACGATTCGTGTCCCAGACCTGGTGGCTTAAAACTCACGCTGGACGCATGTGCATGCGTGCTCAAGATCCCGAGAGGATAATAGAGAAGGGATTGTGGCGTGGCCATCCCCCTGGGGGGTGATTTCTGTCTCTCTGTCTCTGTCTGGTGAGCGCACACACCCTATAGCAAAAACCTCTCCAAAAATAAATAAATAAATAAAAGAAAGCTGAGTGATCACCAGAGAAAGCCAGGAGAGGCTTGATTAGAACCACGAGACGCAAGATACTTCATAGCTGTAGTTGGCAATAGAAAATACCTGACTTTCCCTTCCCTATGAAAGAAGTAACGACAGAACGGTTCAGGGCCGTGGTGATCTCCATCAGAGATGCCTGGTCTACCCGATGCCCGCTTTTCTGTCTTTTTGTCCTTTCTCAATACACCGTAGCTCCCACATCCCCCTAAACTTCACAGGCCAAGACAGGCCTCAGCACTGAGCTCCATGGGTGTTCATAAAAAACGAACCTATGAGAGCAGAGGTGTTGACCTGGGCCGGACACCTCCCTGTTCCCTAGGCTCACTCTCCAAACTGCCCACCTGTTCCTCCTGGCTGTGGTTTAGTCCACAGGGGTATGGAGGAGTTCTGAGGTCACATCTCTAGGTTTGAGGCCCTCCCCTCCCCACTGCAAACCCGGACTTGAATCACCTTACTATTACTAGTTCTTGGATCAAATGCACAATCCCTTGGGGTTCCTACACTTGCTCTTAAAAGATCCTCAAGATCTGTGTGGTTTGAGTCCCAGACCCAGAAGCACGCCAAGACCTTGACAGACACAGACACCAGAAGGCATCGTACTGAACTGTATGCCAAATATTTATTATGTCCTTGACCAATGGCCCGGACATTGTTGTAAACATGAACACTAAAAGACCCTGCACTGACGCATGCCATAAGGACCCCTGTCAGAACACCCAGGCCAGTTCCTAGCGCAGGGAGGCCCTCTGGAACCCAGGTTTGGGGGAATAATCTTTCTGGGCTCTCCAGTCTGGTTGGCGACAGAACTTGGATCCACCTCAGCTTGGGTCTTGGGCCTCAGGACGGGCCATTCAGGGGGCCCTCCATTCTAGGAAGACCCGCATAGGGTAGAGCTGGCTGAGAACCAGGCCAGGCATACTCAGATCCTAGCGCAGGTTTGGGGGAATAATCTTTCTGGGCTCTCCAGTCTGGTTGGCGACAGAACTTGGATCCACCTCAGCTTGGGTCTTGGGCCTCAGGACGGGCCATTCAGGGGGCCCTCCATTCTAGGAAGACCCGCATAGGGTAGAGCTGGCTGAGAATTTTCTCACATCTTGCTGTCAACTGGAAAGAGCAAGACTGGGAGAATGCAGAGAGCCTGTGGGGACGTTTTGCCACTAGTCTCATAACAACTCAGAGTCTAAGACTGGCAACATTTCTGAAGGGGCTACAAAGAAGGTGGAATGTTGGGCCAACTCTGGCCTGGTAGTTAAGGCTGCTGGATCCCACATGGCCAAGTATGCTTCAAGTTCCAAACCCAGTAGCTTCAAAAACACAGCAGGCATGTGGGTGAGCATGTCCAAAATCCCAAAAGGAGGGAGAGATGGAGGAGAAAGGATTGTGGCATGGCCATTCCCCATCCTGGAGGTGCTTTCACCTCTCCTTTTCTCTCTGTCTCTCTCTGTGGAGAGTTCCCTCTAACACAAACAAGAAAGAAACAGAAAGAAGGTGGGCTATTAACCATCAGCACTGAATGTGAGCCCCTCACTTTGTAACTGTCTTCTTCCAGCGTCTCAGGACTATGCTGTTAAAGTGTCTCTGCCTTGCATGGGATGGATATGGACGTGGCTCACCAGCATCTCGTAAGAAATGGGGCCTATGTATGCTCTGCTCTCTGGAACTGCCCCCTCCTCCAGGTTACCTGAGATCCTCCTGCAGGCCCTACCCAACCTGCAGGGGCTCCAAGCGTCCCACAACACTGATGTTCCCATCGCCTCTAGATGAGGTGCACAACCAGGGCAGAGCAGGCGGAACCCAGCACCAGGCCCAGGGACACGTAAAAGGACATCACCACCCCTGTGGCCTCGGCCAGCTCCCTGGGCACAATCTTGGGCCCATAGATGAGAGGCAGGGTGCTGAGGTAGCCATTGCTGAGCCCCAGCAGGGAGGTGAAGAGGATGGGGTAGATGTCAGACTGGAAGACCACCATCTTCAGGTGGATACGGGGCTGGTAGTTGCAGAGCATGAAGAGGGGGATGAAGCAGGTCCGGAGGAGCACCAGCCCAGGAAGCACCTTGCTCTTGGGCCCTGGCATCTGGATCCAGGCTGTGATCTGCCGGCCACACAGGTCAGAAAAGTTGTACAGGAGGAAGGTAGTGAAGGGGATGAAGAACTTGTTGGTCCACGGCGAGCCTGAGCTCTTGTTGAGGGACTCGATGTTGGTGGAGATGGCGGGGTAGATGAGGCAGGTGATGAAGAAGACATAGCTTATACAGAAGCCCAGGCCGGCAGTTTGCCTCAGGATGGGTCGGAGGGGTGGCGTGTGGGAGTTACTGGATCCAGGGGCCACCAGAGAGGTAGTAGGGGAGTCTTGGGGCAGCTCCTCACCAGAAATCACACGGGCAGGATAGACAAGCCTCATGTAGTACCTGCAGGGAAGAGGAGTGTGTGCTTAGAGGTGCTGCAAGCAGGTCACTGGGCATTTCCTGAGATGAGGAGCAGACCAGGCTTGGCACAGTCAGGGTGGGTGCTCAGAATGGAACCTTTCAGCCCAGCAGGTAAAGCCCACAGCCCCCAATTCCCTGAGATGATCTATGCTGCTGTGGGGTAGCCAGAGAGAGGCCTGTCTTATCTCTGCCCTGCCTGACATGCTGAACCCCGGTCCCTTGTTCTGTTGATGGGGGGAATGCCACAGCAGGGACAGGAACTGTGCCTTAACCTCCACACAGTGAGCCTGAGTGCCCATTCTGGCTCACTTGATTTTTTCTTTCATTATTTTTTTGAAAGAGAGAGTTTTGCTATAGGGCACATGCGCTCACTGGACAGACAGAGAAATAGGAAGGGAGAAATCACCTCCCAGGGGGGATAGCCTCGCTGCAATCCCTTCTCCTCCATTCTCCTCTTGGGATTTGGGCACACACGAACACACGCTTGGCGTGAGTTTTAAGTAGCGGGTGGTCCCGGGACGTGAACTGCAGTCGACTATGTGAGAGTCTAGTCATGTAACCACTATGCCATCTGCTGGTCCCCTGGCTCACCTGTTTTTGGCTTTGTTTTAAGGGAGAATATGGAGATAAAATTTTTTCTTTAAATATAGAAATTTAAAATTATTGAAAAATAACACATTCTTGGTATGATGAACCGAAATAATATAGAAACGATATATTAGAAAGAGAAATAATATAGAAACGATATATTAGAAAGAGAACTCTCGCCTCCTCCCACCTCTGATCTCACTCCCTAGTGGTACTGACCATGAACAATCTGTATGCATTGTTCCATGCACACGCAAACACCACATACGTGCATTTCTTATGCAAAAGAGGATTAACTATACATACTGCAAAACTTTCTGCAACAGTATAATGCCTAAGTATGGTATATAATACTATATGGAAGTATGGGTCTAAAACTGCCTAAATCCGACATCATAAGTAGATGTAAGTGTTCTAAAGGACAACATCTCATGGCTCTCCTTTCACACGGGGCCACGTGGCTCTATGCCTCTGCTGTGTTGCTGCATAATAGTCCTCTGTATGGACATAAAGTTCAAATGCTCCCCTATTGATGGACATCTAGGTTGGTCCAATTTTTCGCCACTATAAATAACACTGCAATGAATGCCTATATACATTAAACCTTGCACAAGGACACTGGTACTTTGGTAGGGCAGATTTCTAGAAAAGGAAATTGCTGGGTGACAATGTCTGTGCCTTTGAAATGTGGATAGATATGGATAAACTGCTCTCCAATAGGTAGCACCCATTTATCTCTGCTCCACTCCCCCACCCTAGCCAAAATAACCTGTTATTCTGAGAGGACCCGTTTACTTCGTTAAAAAAACTGACCACAATCTATAATCATTGTATTGGTTTATTGGTGTAGCCTCTGTCTCTTTTGATCAAAGAGAGCTTCCTGGAACAAGGACCCCATGTGATTATTTCTAGATAAATCCCCAGGCATAGAGGAGTCCTTAAAAAGCACAACTCCAGGGACCAGCAGTTGGCATAATGGTCATGTTGCTGGACTCTCACATAGTCGACTGTAGCTTGAGTCCCGGACCTGGCGTGTATGCATGCCCAGAATCCCAAGAGGAGACTAGAGGAGAAGGGATTACAGCATGGCCATCCCCCATGTGGGGGGATGATTTCTCACTTTCTATCTCCCCAGCAAGCATACACACCCAATAGCAAAAATCTCTCCAAAAACAAAACCAAACCAAACACTCTAGGAAGATCTCAAAGCAGCCTACCAAAGTGTCTTTCCCCGCATATCCTCCACAATGATGATCATCGCTCTGGTGCATCAGCCTCTGCTATTCTGACCAGCCACCTTGCTGTATGACCTGGCCTGGGCCCCTCGCCCTCCTGTGTCTCAGTTTCCTAAAAGCCAGGAGACAAGGGTTGACTGTATTAACATAACCCAAACAGAAGACATTGTGTACATTGTGTGGAGGGTGGGAGACAGTAGCTTGGTGACAACTAGATTCCAGTTTGAGCCTTGCCTCTGTCCCCTTGTGTGACCTAGGCTGGTCACACCCCTCTCCAGGCCTCAGTTTCCTTCTCTATAAAATGGAGGTTTTACAGAGCCAGGAGGTTTTGAAGTCCCAGCCAGTCTTCTCGCCCTCAGAGCCACAGACAATAAGCTCGTGGGAGGGCTCCTTCAAGAACCACTCTTCTGTGAGATGCTGAGCAGGGAGGTTCAGCTTCAAGCCCTGCCTTGTTTCTCAATACGCTCAGGAAGGGAATATTCTTACTTCCCCCTCTGCTCAGAATCAGGGCCTTCCTTGAGTCTCCTCTGAGGAAGCTCCTCCCAAGCCCCTCCCAATGTCCCTGCCTCATCTCACCCTCCTGAGTGCAGGGTCAGTGGGCTTCTTTTTTATTTTTAATTTCCTTCTCTTTTACTTTCTTTCCTTTCCTCCCTCCCTCCCTTCCTTTCTTTCCTTTCTTTTCATTTTTTTAGTTGCCAGAAAGTACATGAACTCACCAGAGAAAAACTGAAAGAGGGAGAGGGAGAATGCACCCTTTAACGGGGCATGGTCACACTACAATCCCTTCTCCATTTCTCCATCCTCTGGGGAATTTGATTACACACACACACACACACACACACACATGTGCACACACACATGGCTGGGGCTTGAACTATGTAGGTGGCCATGTGGGATTTGGCTCCCCATACCACCAGGCCATGGGGCCAGCTCAAGAATGATAATAAGTGACAGACTGTACTCTAAGAAGAACAGGGGTGTGAGCTCTGGATGGGATAAGACACACCAAACTAGGCTGAGGATGACACTGGAGCAGGGGAGATGCTGGGTGAACAAATGGGAGTGAGTCCTCATTCCTGTTACCCCAGGCCCAGCTTCTATGGCCAGCCTGCCCTGTCCCCGCACACACAGACTCCAGCTGCTGGAGGAGGGAACCAGCTCCTCACATCCGCCCATTCATCAGCCAGGCCAAAGCACTGAGCACCATCCATAGCCAGGCACAGCTAGGGCACCGGGACACAGAGGTGAGCCAAGCTCTCGCAGGACACATGCAGCGGCTGGCCAGCAATGGACAGGAAGTGCATGTAACGGATCTGACGAGACGACAGAAGGTACAAGTGGAGGCAAGAGAACGGGAGGGAGCCCAATGGCCCTCACCTGGCGTACTCCAGCCTAGGCAGCAGCAGGTAGAGGCCGATGCAGAGCACCAAGAAGATGGTCACCGTCAGGAAGAAGGCCAGGGTGGTGTCTGTTACGTCGCTGGACACCGCCAGGTCCACCAGCAAGGCCACGGCACTGACAGTCCCTGCCATGGCTCCTCCTGTGGAGAGCAGAGAACAGCATGGAGGCAGTCCGGGCTGGACCTGAGTGGGACAGTGGCCCTGGGCTCTGCTCTGCTTGGCTTTAGCACCAAAGTAAAAACTCCCACAGTGCACAGAGTGCCGCAGGCCCTGCAGTATCCTGCAGCCTGGCAGCCCCGGAAGTGCCTGTGGCATGAGTGTCTTCAGTGTTGAAAGCTATGGGTTCCACGTCCCAGCCAGTGTTTGTCTTTCTGGGCGACCTGGTAAGAGGCTGCTGCCCTAGGTGGCAGATAGCCTCCATGGGGGCCCTGCCCATCTGCTTCCTTTCCTGGTGTCATCTCCGGCCCTTCCAGTGAAGTCTGAAATTGAGATTCAGGGTAGAAATGCAGAGCACTCTGGAGTCCCTCTAATCTGCCCTAGCCCAAACCACCCACTAATCAAACTGAAAAAGAGGTGCAGGGGATGTCCTTGCCCAAGGTTGCCTGCCACCTAGACTACCCTGCCTAGGGTACAAATGTCCACCACGTCACCCACCCAGGAGTGCACAGAAATTACCCTGTACCCAAAACAGCTGTGGCACCATACTTGTGTAAACGCATGCATGTGCTCATGTATACAGTCTCACACACACACACACACCTACACACACAGCCACATACATGCAGCTGCTCATCTACACACACTCACATTCCTAGACACAGATACAACACACACCTACACTCACACATGCATCAATACACACACGCATACTTGCCTTTGGTGAGTTCCTTAACCTCACTGCACCTCTGTTCCCCCATCAATAAAATGGGGGTGTTAATAAGTACGCCCCCCCTTAGGGCTATCATGAAGATTGAAGGGATTATGACACATAAAACATTCAGTAGAGCGCCTGGCACAGAGAAGTGCCACACAGACATGCACCCCCCCACGCACACACAGAGTGTTCTTGCCAAGGGCTTGGGACCGTGTGGCCACCTAACGGGGAAGCAGTGCTGTCTAGGGAAATGGTGTACATCTGACCCTTGACTCTCCACTTGTGACTCTGACGTGATGTCTCGAATCCACCGACAGCTCACCTGTAAAATGGGAATGACCTCACCTGCCTCACATAGCAGCCCTGAGGACTAAAGGAGGCACTGTTTGGAAAGGCCTGGCATATGGTGGTCTGGCAACAAACGTGAATGCCCTTCCTTGCCACAGTCTCACAGTGGCTGCTGGCTTCAGGGGACGTGTCTTTTTTTTCTTTTGGATACTCGCAGCCATGAGAAGTCCACCCACGCCAGCCAGGACTCAGAGGCTGGTGGAGCACCAGCATGGGGTACCTTTACCCTTGTGGCCAGACTCTTGGCCTTAGGTACCTGGAAAACGGGGCCGATACCTGCCCGCCCCATCACAGTGAACTGCAGTGAGGCAGAGCAGGACGGTGAATGGGCAAAGCCCCAGATTCAAGGACAGGACTGTTCTCATCGACACAGCGGTACCTGGCGAGTACCTGCATGATTGAGTTCGCCCACTTTACGGCACCCACAGCGAGTCTCAGGAGGCAAGGAGGAAGGAAGACCGATTAGCAGACAGCACACCGGCCTGCCTGACCAGGAGCAGCTGTCAGCACCAGGCTGCTCCTGCCGGCACCCTCTTCTGGCCCTGCTGCATGGAGCAGAGTGGGCAAGGGACAGTTTAGGCCCCTGGCTACCATGCTGTGTCATCATGGCCCACCCCGGGCTCTGCCCCCATCTCTGTGTCTCCACAGGGACCAGCCCTCAGTCTTGACGGTCCATCCCTCCCCCAACATCGATTCTGGTAGCCTGGGAGGACCAGAGAGGGGAAGCTGCGGGAGGGCAGAGAGAAATCACACAGTGATTCCACCGACCCTAGAATCAGAAAGTCGGAGTCCAGCTCTGCCGCTTCCAGCCGCATGGCCTTTGGCAAAGTCCTGAACTTTGCTGCACCTCTGTTTCTCTGTCTATAAAATGGGGATGTTAATAATGCCCACCTCTTGGGGCTACTGTGAAGATTAAAAGGATTATGAGACATACAGCACTCAAAACAGTGCTTGGCGTGGAGTGCCAAATACCAAATAAATCCTCTCCGCTTCCCAATTAGGTGTTTGGCTATTTCTGTCCTCCCCACATCAAAGCAGCAACTACCGGGTAAACCCTTGCCAACAGGGTGCCCACTTCTGAGAAGCTGTAATCCCCACCCGGATGTTTTGTAAGAACTAGGGTTAAACTCAGTAAGACATTCCCGGCTGCCTTAAGGAAGAGATCTTAACATCACTGCCTATTGATTTTCCCCTCTCTCTTTCCAACTTGTAGAGAATTTACAATATTATCATCAACAACAAGCCAGGCCTCCGGGAGCTCATCCTTCATGACTCCCGACTTTTATCTCATCAGTTATGGAAATACATGCAAATAAGGGGTTTAAAAAAACACCAGTTCAAAACAAATGAATTGTTCCTCAGATGCCAACACACACAGAATTCACAGACGGGCTCCTCTGGACGAAAAACAAGTGGGGCCGGCGAGGTGGTATCGGGGCTGCTGGAGACCTCTCAGGTTTTCCAGGGTGTTGGGCAGCTATGGGGAGCCTCGCACGGTGAGGACAATGGTTTAGGGCCTAGAACCACTGATACTGAGGTGTAAGTATCAAATGTCCCCACCTTGTTGAAAGTAGACTTGCTGAGAAATTCACAGGAAATTTCTTTCCC